CACGGCTCGGCTACTAGCTCAGGGTTGGACGATCATGAGTAAGAACGAAGGCATGCCTGGCGAGAACGAGCGAGCATTTTCTAGAAAAAAGTAACTGTAAATGATATTACTAAATTAGAAATATCATGTTCTATAGATTATTGTTTTTCAAATGTTATAAGAGTTTCAAGAAAATACTTTGTTCAAAAGTAGTTTAAAACAATATTTTGAACATATACAAAAAAAATCTTGTATGTCAAATAAAATGTTTGTGCAAAAAACGAAAGACATTTCAATAGATAAAATGTTTTGTACATAACTATTTGCATTCTTTAGACATGCTTTGTCTCTTAGAAAAATAAATTGTTCGTATGACTTCAAAAAACTGTTTTGCCGACTAAAAAAAATACTCTGCACCATGTACGAAAAATGGTCATGTATGCCAATAACGTGTTCATGCAACTTCTAAAGTATGTGTTGACATATATGAACAATATGTTATTTTACACTAACGAAAATGGACTTGTGTATCTATAAAATGTTCATGTGACTTCTAAAAATTATTCCAACACACAAAGTCTTACACATGATTATTTTCCCCTTCTTTCAAGTATGAAAAGTATTGAACTCTACTTCAGAAAAACGTTTGGTAATCATTCAAAATGTTATTGTTGCACGACAAAGTTATTTTTGTTAAAATTATTTCACTTTCAAAAAACATATACACCTGTGAAAACATATATTACTTGAACATTTCATAAAACAACATCAACAGACTATGTACTGGTGGAACACATGAAAAAATTAAAAATAAAACAAGTAAAGAGGCGAAAGGAAAATGAAGGAAGAAACAAAATAGAGAAAAAGTGGAAATATAAAGGGAGCGGCGATTTGGTCCCGAGCTCATCTGCTCCCGCCATGAATAGTAAAACTCAGGCTTAAAAAATGAACAGTAAAATACAAAAAATGCTACAAAAGAATAATAAACTTTTTTCATGAAAGATGTTTCAGTGCATGAGATTCGTGCCAATTTTCAGCACGTTTGGATATCTTAGTACTTTTCGGACTGTTTTCTAGAGCTACTCAAATGTCTGAACGCATTGAAAATTGGCATGGACTTCACGCACTGAAACATCTTCCAAGCAAAAAAATATCAGTTCTTCTTTTTCTTTTGTATTTACTGTTCACCAGGTGCAGATGAGCCCGGGCTCACAAATGAATATTACAGATATAAACTGAAAAGAAAAGACATGAAAGTAAAACACAAATACTGGAAGGAGCCAACAAGCAGCAACATCTGGATAGAGGTGGTTGGTTGCCACCTGCTTATAGTTTTTCAAAGTTTAATACAGATTGCAATGAAAGCCTACTGAAGGGAATTACGTGCGCAGTTTTGTACTCTGATCACTACTCAGGGTAATACATATGTGACACTCGATCGTCAGTGGTGTCTAAATAAGGATAAGGCTGCTAGTTTGATTATGCTTAATTTGACTGTATTAGCTGGCCAAATACGTAGTTATGAAGGACTTGCCCGTCAAAGTGGCTCATCTTCATATACGTATATTTATTGTGCAGCCTCTCAACTCCAGCAAGAGCAGCTTTGCAGAAACAAGTGTTGCTTATCCCTCTTCATCATATCCTAGCGGATGAACCTTTTTGAAGGCAGAAATAATCTTCACCTTCTATTCATTTCTTATTTACTTCAAACCATCATTGCAATGGCCTTGAGTAGAGGCAGGTCAAGAGTGGCGAATCTAACCCGCTCGGACTCGCTGGGAAGAGATCGTCCGACAAACAAAAATCACACAAGCAATAAAGTTACAATAAACTTCTTCTAGACTTCAGTATTTTTTCAACATCGATACGACACGGGCGCGCATCACCAAGTTGCAGTGATATCACCAGAGACAACATCTGCATAGCGGGCAGCTGGTTTTTCACGGTGGATCAACGGTTGGGCGGCCATTGCGCACATCCAATCTGCTGGAGCATGTTCGCGCGCTATCTAAAAGGGTTATATTTTTACTTCTTTGCTGGATCTAAGCGCCCCCATGAGAAAACCGGAAACTATTACTCCCTCCGTTCCAAAATAATTGTCTTTCTAGCCATCTCAAATGGACTACAACATACGGATGTATGTAGACATGTTTTAGAGTGTAGATTCACTCATTTTGCTCCGTATGTAGTCACTTGTTGAAATCTCTAGAAAGACAATTATTTAGGAACGGAGGGAGTACATATCTACAAGAGACAAGCACGGAAAGCAGGTTGGTGCTGTCTGCTGTCCAAGGGCACCAACTACTACCAGGTCATCCAAGCCAGCCTCGCTGAGACTTCAGATCTTCACCTCTCGCACATCGTTTTGCCCAAAAGGGGTGCCGCAGCCCGGGCACTTCCGGTGCCGTAGCTCGAGGTTCCTCTGGATACATGTTGAGCAGAACAGATGGAAGCATTTGGTGATCACAACCTGCCAACAACCAACAAAGGAACATCAGCAGCAGGTGCTCACAACTTTAAGATCTTACCACAGAGAAACTGAAACTTCGGTGACATGTGAACACAAATGAATGTGGATCTCAGCTGCTAAAATCTTGAGTCACGTACAAATCCGCCCCATTCAAACATAAGCTGTGTGATTCAATGGACAGTAGTTACCTCTTTGGGCCGGTCAAAGCACACGCCACACTTGAGAATAGCCTTGGAGTCTTTTATCTCGTCCTGGAGCTTCTGGATAGTAGCCTCTTCGTTCTCAGATGTCAGCTCCATGACTTCATTCTTCACCTCCTCGTATGCTTCCTCAAGCTTTCTCTTCTCGCTTCTATTAAATAGCAAAAGAATGTAACAAGCCCTGGTGGCAGAACAGCAAGACAAACTTGGAAAATAAAATTAACACCACACCAGCAAGCCTAACCTCTCACGCTCCAGCTCCATTCTGAGCTCAGCTATTTTTTTCTGGTTTTGCTCATATTCTTTCTCAGAGGACCCAACGGCGGACCGAAGCCACTTGAGCTCCTTCTCTGCGTCAGATACCTCCAGCAGAGTCTTTTCAATGGTAATTGCATGATGCCTGTTCTCTGAAGAAGTTTTTATAGCTTGTGCGACATAGGCTTTCATCTGTAAGGTTTATTCAAATAAAGACACTTCAAAACCAGCTCAGTGGTAAACACACACACACACACACACACACACACACAGAGTATATTTCTTAATACAATAAATATTTGCTTTGACGTGATTTTCAATTACTGTTTGCGGACAGCAAATTAAAGCATAAATAACACATAGGGCATGAGTCAGAGATTACCTGCTCTTCACCACGGGAGAGTTTTTGTTTAGATGACTCCAGTGAACTGTTAACCTGATGGAGTTGCTTCTGTAACAAATGCTTTTCAGAGAGAAGGGAAGCAGAGGCTTGCTTTGTCTTCACACTATCTGATACTAGCTGTTAGATGAGAAACAAGTTACTGATGGGAACCAATAAGAAAAGCAAACAGTGTTTCTTCTGGCAATTCAACAGAGTATAAATATGGTGTGGGGTTAAAGTGCATGGTTAATAAGGCAATAAGGCAAGGTGATAAGGCAATTTCAGATGCACTGGACTACTGCCCCAGCATCTAGGTGCTACAGACGTGCTGCAAGGACACGCTATATGAATCAACAAGTAGCAGCAACTGGAGTAACTATCTAATAGACAGAGATGGAAAAGGGAAAAGAGAAATACACCAGGCCACCTAGCCCAACAGCCGCAGCTGTCACCATGCTTGTGCACATGGAGCATGTAACAGGATCCTAGTGGCATGTTGCTATATTGAGGGGGGTGCCATGCCGACAGCAAAGGGGAAACGCCCATGAGACAGAAGCACGGATTCCACCACAGAAAGCCCAGCAAGCTGGCAGCGAAGAGCTGCCCTGGTATCAGATACGCACCTTTATGTTAAAATCATCTCTGTCGGCAACCTGTTGAAGAAGATGCTGGTTTTGTGTCTGCATGTCTTCATATGCTTGACCAATTGTCTGCAGTGACAGCATCATTTGCTTTCAAACACACTCGCACACACAAACAAAAAAAACTGCTGATAAGAAAACTAAAAATGAGCTAACCTCAATTTCAGAGATATAAGCATCTCCTTCCGCTTCTTTAATTCTTATTGCCTCCTTGAGTTCCAGAACATCTCTGCAAAACAGATCATACAAGGGATGAAGCTGCGGAGGTGATACAGAATACCATGTCCTCATTGAACAATAAAATATCTAAATATCTAATGGTTCACAAACATAACATATACTGCCAGCTGTCACAAAAAAGTTGTACCAAGAAAATATAAAAGCTCGTTTATACTGATCACTAGAACTAGATAATACTTGATAGCAAGATGACGATTATTGAGATCTAATTAGGTTTTAACCTAGTGGGCCAAACAGGACAGGAAGGCACGAAATATATGTATTACTAGCAGATGCAGAAACCAGTTGCAGGAGTTAAACTGGAACCTAGCCAGTTCTGATTTCACCTGGGCTGGTTTACAGCAGCAACAGAAAAAAAGGTCCAGTTTGTTTGTGCAATTTGAGCCTATGAGTTTGTTAATAATTTAGTAAATGGAATTTAGGAACAAGGTGTATATGCTCGGATTTCCAATGCAAATTGTGAGCAAGTATGGGTTGTATTAGCCATTGAGCGGCAAAATGGGTGGTTTCGAAACCTATAAAGGACTATGTTAACCGCTATTAAACAGTACTCCCTCCGTCCAGAATTAATTAATGTTCAAACAGATGTATCTAGACACGTATTTCGATGCTAGATACATCTGTTTGAACAACATCAGCTAATTCCGGTCGGACAAAGTATATATTTAACACACTCAACATCTTTCACATCATTAATAGCAGCAACCAGGATGAAACAACTGCAATAATTAACATCCTGATCCCCTCAACGGAAAACTCATTTGAAATAGCAATCCAAGTAAACTGGAGAACTATTTCAGTCCCAGTAAACTGGAGAACACATCGAATTGTCACTAGGAGAAGATAACTGACCTTTCAGATGCATCTACATCGGTCCTTAACTCTTCCAGTTCTGCTTCAGCAATGCAAAGCCTTCGCTGGCATGCAGTTTCAGCTTCATTTGCTGCTTTTACACGAAGCTCAAGACTATGTTCCTCTAGACTAGTTCTCAAATATTCAGCCTGCTTGCGAGCTCGATTTTCTGATTCCTTGATCTCTGTAATTGTCCTAGATTCACAGTAGTGCAAAATAAGAATCTAACGAATGAAGAAAAATATATTAGTATGTAAAATTCATGAAAGCTGTGAATTGACTATCATTCTATGGATCGTTTTCAAAGGGGAAATCAATGGGTATTTGGTAATGGAGGAAAGCGTAGAGGTAACCAACCTATCTTTTTTTTTCATTTGTTGAGTTCTTAGCTTATATGATTTTTATTCCTTGCCGTTTTGAACACTTTATTTTCAGCGATCTAAAGTAGTATATTTTTCTTTCGGCATTTACAAATGCCACATAACCTATGTCAGCTAGTGTTAGCAGATTGCATCCAAATTAAAACTGGATTGCCAAGCCTTTTCCATCAGTTTGGACTTTTGGTTGCGTTGGCTAGTGCATGAAGTTTAACATGGTATCGGAGCCTAAGGTCTCGAATTCAAGTCCATGTATAGTCTCCCTCTGTGTCCATGTATAGGCCTCTTGAGCCATACCTCTCAGTCTATTCATGTGTTGACTTCCAGTGTCACACGTGAGAGGGGGTGTTGAAGTGTGTATGCGGATTGGCTAGCCCTTTCCATCAGTTCGGACTTTTAGTTGCATTGGCTGCATGAAGCTTAACAATCACATGTTTTAACAACTTGATAGATTTAACTGACTGCAAATTTTCATATGTAAAGTATATAGCTGAAATTGAGGATTAGAGTAAAGATGGACTTCTTTCAGGCATGCAGCAGACCATGTTTATTCAGAAGAAAAGGGATGTGTCAACTTTATCTCTTGTTCCCAAGGTGTGGTAAACTGTAAATCCCAAGTACGTAGAAAACATTTTCTAACAGAGAATTTCAAGAATCTGGCGGAGGACTATGAGATCATCTAAGAGAATAGCATAAGTCACAATCATCAAAAATCAACACAACTGATAAGTGATAACGATAACAATCAAGTCATACCTCGACTCAGAAGATTCTTTCCCATACATATCCACAACAAATTCCAACTCCTGATTTTCCTTTTCCAACGTCTCAATCTGTTCAAATTTCATTCAGAAAACATGAATGGCAATCCTGACAACAGTGCAAAGTTGCAAGAGCTTGGCTTCGGACCATCGAAGGGCAATACTTCCTTGTTTTTCTTCAGAAAATGGAAGATTTTTATATTTAGGCTCATATATGTAACCTCTCTTAGTTGCATATTCACTAACAGAGTTTGCTTGCCCATAATTCTTTCAAATTTAAGGGGCCATACTGTTAGTTGCATATTCACTACCAGATACTCCCTCCGTCCGGAAATACTTGTCTCAGAAATGCATAAAAATGGATGTATCTAAAACTAAAATATGTCTAGATACATCCATTCCTTTGACAAGTATTTTCGGACGGAGGGAGTATTTGTTTGCCCACAGTTGGAAAATAACAACAATTGCAGGTAGCTAGTTGCAAAAGCTGAATATACACCAATGCTTGAAAGACTAAGAACTAACTGTTAATCCATAATATATTTTCAGAAACCAGGTATCAAGCACGGACTAATCTTGACAGATCTAACCTTATTTAATGACAAGTAGGGGTAACCTAATGGTGCATGCTATCTCTTCTTAAAGAATGGCTTTGTTATAGAGAGCAAGGACTAAATCTTCACAGGTAGCATGTACCCTAATGGACATAGAGATAGCAAGGAATAATCTTGACGGATGTAACCTTATTTGATCATATCTCACCCTAACGTTACTAATTTTATATTTCCTTATATATAATTGGCTTAAGGCCCAAGCTACTTGCTCTCCAAGTTGCTTCTTCGGCCAGTTATTGGGTGAGTCTACGCTAATAAGTAATAACAAATCAGATATAATTGCTTGTGTAATAACTCAAAAATTTCTCCGAGCTGAGAGAACCATGGTGAAGGGAAAATCAAACACTTTCAGAGAATGCATATATATCTCAGGCTGTCAGCACAATTAGAAGACGAGAGATTTTCATGATACCATACCAATTCTTTGAGGGACTTGATCTCAGAGACTTGTGTGTTGTATCTATCAGATATTTCCTTCTGTTCACTGATCTGAAAATTGGAGATACTTCCATCAGATGTTTTGATTATGCTGGAGGTCTATTCAGAATTTCTCAGGTATAGTTCAGAATATAAACTCTAGAGAAATAGTTTGTGAATAATATTGTAAGATCTAATAATGATCCTAAAAACATGTAACAATGCAAGCATATAACAGCATCAAAGTACACATGAGTATACCCTAGAGTATTGAGTTAATCCTGTTTTTGTAAATAATAACCCAGCTTTAATAAAGCAGAGATAACCTGAAGATAATATAACCTTTCTCTTCACTTGTCATTTTGGAGATCGGACACGGTCTCTGATACCCCTAATTAACTATTACTTTTTGTATACTTTAGAGATAAAATATTCAAGAAAATGACATAGAATAAATTTTATGACAAATATATTTTGAATGACAAACATAAACACTTATGCATATTATATTGGGAAAAGTAAGCATACATACAGAGGTGGTTGCTTGAGCTAGGTTTTAGATACTTGTGCATCTGGAAAACTTCTCAAAAAAGTCACATATGTGCATCTGTTAGAACATGCTATATTCTAGATTCGGTTGGTTTAAATTGAGTTGGTTGTGTGCTAGCAGTCGACTATTTAAGTGATGATTTTGCTTCTTTGTAGAAGGTGATCAGTAAACAAACTTCCCTTGACCAGCTATTCTAGTGTTACTACCCCAACTGGTTACCCCTTCAATCTAATGTCGTTCTACCTTAATCCATCTTATTCCATTTCCAACACCTTGTTCAAGTCGGTTCATGACACGGTAAGAATGGACTAGTACTAGTTCTGGTATGTGGTGCTTGCTCTTTGTAGTTAATCTATATGTCAGATATATGAATGCAGAAAATATCCTATCTGCTAAAATCAATGCAAAGTGAGTAAATGTGTACAGGAATCACGATGAAGAAACATAAAAGATCTATTTTTCATTACACACTGTGTGGCAATCTCACTACCAAGTACAAGCATGTTAAATTTCAGCGACATTCGCAGACATGGCAACAGATGCAGACCGAGAGCCAGTTTGGAAACATTGATAGATCCAAATCGATGACATACCTTCTTAGCTAACAAGGTTCTTAATGAGTCAGCTTCTTCACGTAATGCAAGTGCTTCAGAAGCCGCATCCTTTGATCTATTCAATTGATTCTCCATCATTTCCATCTCTTTAGAGAGTGCTGCAGCCATGACATGAATCTCATCCTTGAAGTCTTTTTTACCTAGACAGTGGTGGAATTGAGAACAAAGTATATATTACACTGCAGGAGGTTAACCCAGATAGATTTAGCAAGCCACTAAGTCAGGCCTCAATACCTGAATCTTGCAATGATTCCTCAACTTTGATCTCAAGATCATTCTTCTCAGCCATGGATTTCAGAATCTGATGTTCCAGTTCTTCGATTTTGGCCTCATAAGAGGTAATGGATTGTTTAATATTGTCGACGGATTCTCCTTTTGCACACATTTCTTTCTCCCTTTGCAAGAACTGGTTCTTATCATTCTAAAGTCAAAGAAAGGAAAAGCTGGTCAAGAGAAAATACCTTGCAAAACAACAGCACAACAGAGGAAAAGCATATTACCTGTAATACTTCAACCAAACCCTTGTATCGTTCAATCTCAGCATTCAGATGATGTAACTGATCGCTAAGAATTGTATATGGTTTTGATGTGAAAATATAGTTGTCGTCTTTTAATTGACCCTGCACACATAACAGCAGAATGCAGATTATAGGAATAAGAAGACCCAGGATACAACTTGAAAGTACAACAAATATGACAGCCATCCATTACAAAGAAGGTGCCAACCTGCAGATCTTCTAACTGCTTAGACAGTATGAGATTATCCTCTTGAGTCTCATGGAGTTCAAACAGGCGGTCTCCTGCAAGGGTCTGCCCTCCATAGGACAAATTATACTATAAGATGAATGCTGAGCAGATAAGGCATATAAAAAGCATATATGCAATGGAATTCGGTCTGGTTAAAAGTACATTAGCTTCCTCAACAGCATCTTTGAGATCTCCCCAGCCCATGTTTTTGTCTGAAGATTTATCAGCCGAAACAGCACCATTCACAGCGTTTGGACCAGACATGTTCATTAGCGAACCTCCATGCCTCTGCAACTGGAGAATAACCAACTTCCGTCGACTTTCCTCAAGCTCCGCCATGGTTTCCTCTAGCTCTCCTGCATAAGCACATGAATATGGATTGCTTTGCTTTAGAATCAAAGCTTGACCAGTTTTATAGCTCAAAATCTGGAAGCACTGAACAAGATAAGTTTTTTTTTAATTTGGTAAGGGTCTGTTAACATATCTTAGTACATTTCTTTCAGTTGTATTGGCAGCAAGTTTTAGCACAATTAATGCCACAAATTATTTCCGTATGAAATATGCAAACTGTGATGCAAGGTCAATCTTGCCAAGAATGCAAAGCCGAGCTTGTTGTGAAAAGGGGCAGCTTTAAAAAAAGGGACCAGCCAGGACTAGTCCTTGGTGGCATATTTTAATAGAAGAAGCAACCTTGAGCATCACGCATGCGAGCCGAGACTCGAACGCGGGTGGGCTGGCTGTGCATTTGCGCGCCTTGCCAACAGAACAGTACTTTAGTCTAAAAAAAGGGGGGCGGGGGGCAACTTTTAATCATCCAGATGACAGAAGGAAATGGTATGTTTTAAAATTAAGCCAAATGCATTCGTATATTGTTACCTGATTTGCGATTTGCTATTCGGCTTCACGATTAGCTACCTCAGCCTGTATCGGGCTCACTAGGCGTTGTACATCTCTGATTCGCGAATCGGAGATCAGGTTCGTCAAGCCAGAAATTGGGGTTCGGCGAATCGAAGGTCGGATTCGGCAAATCAGAGATCGGAGTTTGGCGAATCGAAGGTCGGGTTCGGAAAATCAGAGATTGGGGTTCGGCGAATCGAAGGTCGGGTTCGGCAAATCAGAGATCGGGGTTTGGCAAATCGAAGGTCGGGTTCGTCAAATCAGAGATCGGGGTTCGGCGAATCAAAGGTCGGGTTCAGCAAATCAGAGTTCAGGGTTCAGCAAATAGGAGGTTAGGGTTTGTGAACACTAGATCTTTAGGCACAAACACTAAAATAGCACATGGTTCTGCACACAGAAGCATTGGAAAATAGGCAAAGCAAGAAACAGGCCTAGTCAGGCCACACAGCCCATAAACGATCCTGGGTGCCAACTACCAAATCCCATCCCTAATAAGCATCGTGACTGCCTACCCTGCCGAGCATGGAGCGCCACCCCTCCAGTTTCTTTGATATGCTTGCAAAAAGCTTTCCTTAGGGATTCTATCGACTCCATCTTCCTCACCTCATCCACACATGGTTCATGGCTATGGCTGCAGCCGCAGCCCATACCATGCCAACCTACTCGAGAGCACCCAATGGTGACATTCAACTCGATCTACTCGACATGAGATAGCTGCATGGCAATTCCTTCCGTTTTTCTCTCAATCTCCTTGGTTGGAATCTAATGGTCCACCTGAACGATCGGTCAGCGCATCCTTACCGATTGGCAACAAACTCGAATCCCAATCGAGATTGGGGTTTGGGGTTCAGAGGGTGGTTTAGTGAATCTGGTAACTACGGAGAAGATAATAACTGTGAATGCGCAGATATGCACACGAGATAAAATTTAACAAATATATCAAATGAGGAAAGGAATGACATTTTTAACACCTGAAAGATGCTTGATTTCCTGCAATTCTTTTGAGTAGCCGCTTTTGAAAGCCTCAATCTCATCCAGATACCTTTTATGCTTCTCATTGACAATAGAAATAGCTTCACGGACATTGCCAACCACCTCTTTCAAGTGATCATTATGGTTTTGAAGGGCAACAACAACATCTAAATTAAATAAAGAAAGTTCAAGCAGATGTGTAGTTAGCAAATAATAAAGGTGCACTGAAAAAAAAATGGAGGGGAAAAGCCAGATATTACTTTTTGTCTTTACCTTCATTTGACTTCTCTCCATTTAAAGCTAATGACAAATATTCACTTCTAGCCTGTTGTGCAGCAATAGCCTCTTGAAGGGACCTCATGAGAGCAAGAGTTGCCGAACGGCGCAAAGCAAGAGCTTCTTCAGCAAATTCCAACATGCTATTGTCGTCCTTTTTTCCATAATTGTTGGACTTCAAGAGCATGAAGAGAAAAAAATTCCTCAGAAGGACACGACTGGATGGATTCTGAGCAACAAAAAAAGAACACACAATCAGCTAAGGCAACATCGCTACTGAAACAAAAAAGAACAACTCAGAAAGCAACATTTAACAGTTAAACAAATAGAGCAACCTTCTGACAACTCTTCATGGTCAAGTGCAGGTAAATTGTTCAAACCACCACCAAATCGAACTCCAAGCAGGATTAAATCATCAACAAGCTATAATTAGCATATATTAGTAAGAAGCATTACGAACCAGAAAAGAACCATAAAACAGAGTTTACATGAGACAGAGAGGAAAGAACCTGATTCCACATCCTATCCAGAGAAATCAGAGTATTGTCGTAAGAAGATTTTTCATTCCTCAACTCCTTGAACTTAGCTTCCAGCACATGCATTTCAGACTTCTGTGCTTCCAATTGTTGCACCAGCTTCTGGTTTTCATAGTGAAGGGCTGTGGCATCCATCTTTAAAAGATAAACAGAAAAGTTAGGTCCTACAAGGGGGCACGGAAAAGGAACGGGTATGCACATAGATCAATGTCCACTAACCAAACTTCCAAAATTAATTGACCAATCTTATAGAGGCAAAGTATTCAGTCAGTCTTGTCGGTTTGCTAAATTTTCCAACCAGATTGTAACACAAGTCACCATTTTTAGACTGGGAACAGTTGGCAAGCCCCTACAAGTCAAAATTAATCGTGCACAGGCAGACAGAGGTACTACGCCTGATCACAGTTTGATTTGAACTTTTGCTATCATACTAGTATGTTATTATCTTGACCAACGTTCTGCTCCATTCCAGTTTGAGGAACTGTCGGTAGTATGATTGAGACCATGGTACGAGGCTCAGTTATTGGAGACAAGAATTCGAGCAGCCATTTAATAGCATAATACTGGAGTAATGGACAAAACTTTATATAAGTGCTCCCTAAAATTGGGACAAAAACAATGGTGAATGGCACCATCGAACAAGTATATATTTTCATGAATTGGAGCAAAAGCGAGCAGACACAGAAACAGCTGGCCGTGGGGGAGGGAGGTCCGGGAGC